AGGGTGCGATGTGGGAGGAGTTAGGTGAGGGTGCGATGTGGGAGGAGCTGGGTGAGGCCTTGGATAGAGACTCTTGATTGGCTCCGAGAAGATTCTAGCAAACCATCAAGTGTCTGAGGAGAGGAAAGCAGCTCTTTACGTTCACTGTGCTCAGTGTTAGTAAAGAGTGTTCAGACATTTATGAGCAGAATTTGTTGGTGCAGTCAGGAGGTGGAGGGAGTCCGGTCCGGTGGCCTCAGGACTCCATCCCTGCTCTTTGCAGATGTGGTCCTGCTGGTGTCATCCTGATCTTCAGCTCTCACTGGAGCGGTTCACAGCCGAGTGTGTGTGTGTAAACCAGCCACCGCTATCGTTTCAGGAAACGATGTTTTCTAGTTTTTATGTTGCTGGAAAGGATCGTTTCAAGTGACTGGCTGAAGAAAACTGGGGACCAACGCCACCAGTGGCTGTCCACAGGCTCAGCCAGTGTGGTCCTGGTGGAGGATGGAACTGCTGCCTCCGCTCGTCAGGATTTGTCTCTTTGAGCTGAAAAATAAAATTAAAAACCCTCCTCTGTTTATATACACTGTCTTGCACCAAATCATTGTTTACTTTCATTCACTGTTCAGATCCAGTTCAGAAACGCACTCGTGTCAAAAACTATCAACTTTAACTGTTCACATCCCTCAGCGCCAGCGAACACCGGCGCATTGTGTTACTCTTTTATACGACTGTATGAGTTGATCAAACTTTGCAGAAGTTTCTTAGAGCAGAAGAGTCTTTTCAGCTGTGTTGAAACTTTTGGAGTGTGTGCTGTAATATCCTGTTTGCATGCTAGATGAAACATTTGGACAAACAGAATTATTGACACACTTGAAATGTGCTGAAGTGCAAACAGATGTGCGGAGCAGTGTTACGTCGTGTCATTTAAACCTTGGTGTTGCGTCAGTGCTTGTGGCGCCGTCAGCAGCTGAGCCATTCCAGCTTTGAAACTCAATCTTTGCTTCGTCTGTATGTTTCTGTGTATAAGATGTGGTCATCTTTATCCAGAGTGTGAGCTGTGGAAGAGCGAGGCCTTGAGCTTCTGTAAGGAGGGGTTGTGCTCGCCTCTCACCACGCTGCCGTCTGAAGCTCTGCAGACTGAAGCTCTCAAGCTCTTCAAGGTCTGTATGCAAACACCACGCCTCTGCTGGCTTCCTGTCTGTTACCCCACTTACTTCTCAGTCCCCCCTCCACTCTAAATGCCCATGCTGTTCAGTCTCTCGCACATTTGAGAGTCTGTTCAAGGGTCTACCTCACTGCAGTCTCCTGGATGGTCCTTCACGTCCCTCCTCCTCTAAAATAGATCAAACGTTCAAGAACTGAGGGGCCCAGCTCATTAAATGTGGAAGAGAGATAATAGCCCCGATTATCTGCTCTGATTCAGGCTAACTGTTCCTGGGGTTTACTGCCAGACCCCCCTCCACAGTCTCTTTTTGAAAAGAGCTGTGGGAGGTCAGGGTCTTCAGAGGGTGGAATGGGATCAGAGCCAAACAGGGACATTGGATGGAGATGACAACTTTTTCTCATTTTGTCCCTCGTCTCAAAGCAACGAGGGGAATTGAAAATACTCCGTCCATAAGTCCATCTGTCCCTGCGTGCACTTTATGACTATTAGTGCACGTTATAACTATTATAACTTAAAAAATAGGTGAGATGCCAACTTCCATTTTGGTGTGTGATTGTTTTATGATGTGTGCAGCACTTTGGTCCTGTGGGTGTTTAAAGTGCTCTATAAATAAAGCTGGTATGGTATGAAATGGTATGGTACGATATGGTATGGTACGATATGGTATGGTATGAAATGGTATGGTACGATATGGTATGGTATGAAATGGTATGGTATGGTATGGTATGGTATGGTATGGTATGTGTGTGGATGCATCTAGATGTAAAAAGATTCACAATCAAAAATTTTGTTGCCATGTCAAAATCCAAGATGGCCATGTGTGTGTGTGTGTGTGTGTGTGTGTGTGTGTGTGTGTGTGTGTGT